CGATCGGTTCAACATTATTTGGACCCGCTCTGAAAGAATCCACCTGACTCGAAGGCAAGATTATTTCTCTTCACCACCACTTTCTTTCACTCGACCTGACGACATTTTTTGCCTCTTTTCCAAGAGTAGCTCCTGGATCAGGACCTTTTTTGGGATGTCAATATGGGATTTCATAAGCTTATCCATCGTGAGCTCTTGCTGGGGCATAGGAGCAACCAACGAAGAAAAGGGAGAGCATACGTTCGTGCAGGCAGCAACCAACGAAGAAAAGGGAGAGCATACGTTCGTGCAGAGTAGTGAAGGATAGCTTGAAATGGGCAAGCTCGAGGAGGTGCCTATGTCCTATTTAAGACAATAAACAATGCAAAAATCAATGGATTATCAATCATTGGGGTCATTTAGTGATAACTAATCTTTTCTAATATTTAATTTTTTTGTTCTTATTGCTGCATGACCTATTAATGTAGGAGAGAATTAAAAAAAAACTAAAATATGTACAATAAAAATACTCTTGGCTGGATCTTCTGTGGACCCAATAGTTCAGAGCGAAACACGCATCACTAGACAAGCCTTTACGAGAACATATATAGTTACTTAGAGGATGACCACGCGATAGTAGTTGACTAGTTAGAGATTAGTCGAGCAGCTGATCAGTGGCCGACCAACCCATATATTGACCGACTCGAGGACTGCTCAAGTCAATTAGTTGGAAGATGACTTGCCAGAGGCCCACAAACCAACTGTCACAAAGTCGGTTGATTGGGGTCGATTGGTTAAATAGGGTCATGACTGTAATTGTCATTTCATAATATTTCTAGTCCTGTAGAGGCACATTAAATGTAATAGTGATTGTTCAAACCATAAGCAAAAATATATCTCTGTACATTTTTCTCCTTCTCACACTTCATTCCTTGGGTGTGATTCATGAATAAATTTGAGTTCTAACACATATAAAGTAGATTACTATAATCTTCTTGTTGAATTCTTAGGATATACACAGTTAAGTTTGCTTCTCATCAAATCAATCATTTTTTATAAAATTATTGAAACAAATATGCCATTTTCTAAAGGATTATTTCAAACCATAATGGGCCTTTTTCATGGACAGTTCTGTGATTTTCTTCCAAAAAGCCTTTAGGTTATTGCATATATATGGTCTGTTCAAGATCACCATGCAAGAATGCTATCTTCTCATTCATTCGATGGAGTTCTGGATTTAAGTTTGCAGCAATTGATCCTGTAGTTCTTATGGTTGTTTGCTTAATAACCGGCAGATAAATCTTTTTGAAATCTAACCTTTCTTTTTGTTTAAAATCTTTTGCAACCAATTTTGGTTGGCTTGTGAACAAGCTTTCATAATTTTGGTTCGTGTGCAAGGAATTCACATTTTCATTGCTTGTTTGAATTGCAGTCCATGGCTTCATAGTATGATGATAGTTTTCCATTCCAAACCTGTACAATAGTCTGATTTTTCATCTTATTTCTTTGGTCAGACGATATTGTTACTGATTTTTTTTATTCTACCGATTTCATCAAATTTTTGTTTTGCTTGCTGCTCCAAAACAGCTTGATTTTCACTAGCTCTCATAACTAATGGGTCCACCTACACCTTATGCTTCCCTTTGTGAATCCAATTTTTTTATCGTCAGTTGCCCATTTTTTTTATTAGTAATGGAAATTTATTCTCGTTGAAAGTTACATCCCTCTTTATAATACATTTCTCCAATCCTAATTTAATGCACCATAACCTATAACCTTCCGCACTACTTGGGTAGCTCATGAATACACATTTTAATGCTTGGCAGTTTATCTTGCCTAATATGTGCTTATTCAACACTTGCAAAAGCCTTAAAATTGTTGATTAGATGTATGCCCAATCCGACTTGAAACCCGCTGGTGCTAATCGTCATTTGTTTATTAAATAACTGGTAGTTTTCGGAGTTTCTCCCCAATTTTCTCTTCTGAATGAAACAACATGTTTCTAAATCTTTCAAGCAACATCCTATTAGTCTTTTCGGTGAGGCCACTTTGTGCAGTGTGTAAAACTACAAGGTGCTTAGTTGTATCTTGACTAGCGCTGAATTTGTCAAACATGTTTGAACTATTCTACAGTCCATTGTCAGTCCGCATTTTTGTGTTTGTTCTGCCAATTTGATTCTCAATGATTCTCTGTCAACTTAATTCACAATGAGTGTTTTTCATTCCATAAAAGTTTAAGAGTCTTATCCTTGGTTTTAAGGCAATACAATCTCACTCTACTTGAGTACTCATCAATCATAGAGAAGAAATATTTAGCACTGCCTCTTGTTTTAACTCTAAATGGCGTCCATAAGCTTCTATGAACATTATTAAGAACGAATTTGCTACCATGTGTCACCGCATGAAACTTGATTATGCAGCTCTTGCGAGGACAGCTCCCACAGAATTCCAATTTGCTTGTTCTATCACTTCATGATATTGAATATTTTAATTGTGATTGATCCTTCACCCATGATTTGGCACGCCGTATCATGTCATAGCAAAACAATTACCTTCATCTTTATTAAACATTTTCCTCTATGCAGGCGATCTTTCTTGAAATCCCCCCTCCAGTTAGCTGTGAATACACTAGATGCCTTTGATTTTGATCAGGATCTTGGGTGGAACTTATTTTGCTTCTTTGCCCAGTTTTGCTTCTCACAACAAAGCTATCACCATCTTGTTCCCTTTTAATTCATTCTTTTTTTGGAAAATGTGCTCATTTGAATGATTTCAATAAGCAGCTAATAAGGTATGATCCCTTGATTCTTCAATTCTTAAATCATCCTTTTTGAGATTAAGAAAGATTTTGTTTGAATTCATTCATGTGCCTTCTGAGATGTTACCTTCAATCTGAAGGTTATATCGTGAAAAGCCGACTAACTGAGGGCCTTTTTCAAGAACAAAGATACTATTTTTTGCTAAATATCAGTGGCAGAATCTTGTACCACTCATCACCAAGTGAGAAGAATTTGTGCTGTGAGCCTTCAGTTGCTTCCCTATCCGCTGTTTAAGCAAACCCTTCTCTGCTAATAGCGTAAGTGCAGCCTTGATGAAAGAGAAGCCCTTCTATCTTGAGCCTCCATAGGCTGAAATTATTGTTGTCTGTGAACTTGTCAGTTTTGAATTTTGGTATTGACATCATTTTAGTATATTCGGTGGCTCTGATAACAATTATTGAATTACTTTGCACCACAGTATCCAAGAATGCAAAAACACCAAAACAAGTAGATGAGTAAAAAAGGGGCTAATCTGCTTGAATCAAAGAGAATAAGAATGGAGAACAATCAATGATAATAATAATGGAGAACTTCTATCAAGAATCAGTTGAGCACAAAACACCCAGTTTCCTTTTCTTTCAACTCCCGACCATTTACACATCTTGACAGACTTAAATCGTACTAAATCGAATTTCTCCATCAGGTGGATGCCAATGGAAAGGGAAAGTTAGACTACGGTGAGTTCGTTGCTATCTCCCTTCACTCACAGAAGATGGCTAATGACGAGCACCTCCGAAGGGCCTTCTCATACTTCGATAAGGATGGAAATGGTTACATCGAGCTAAAGGACAGAGGAGCTTCGAGAGGCTCTAGCCGAAGATGGAGCGACAGATAACACCGATGTAGCTAATGACATCTTACAAGAAGTTGACACTGACAAGGTTCCTATTCACACCAATTAGAATTTTCAGATAAAATTCAATTTCCCTTCATCATAAACCACATTTTATAATCCTTTTTACATGGTTGCAGGACGGCAGGATTAGTTTTGACGAGTTTGTCGCAATGATGAAAACTGGAACGGATTGGAGGAAAGCTTCGAGGCATTACTCAAGAGGAAGATTCAACAGTCTCAGTATCAGATTGATGAAGGACGGCTCGTTAAATGCTAGCAGCGGTGGCGGTGAGTGATAAGATGATTAGGATATTTGCTTACTTATTGCTGATTTTTTGATTGTTGTAAACCAACTACATTGCCAAGACATCCTCTTATAACCATGATTTGGCTTTGCTGTGTAATTAGTTTCATCACCAGAGAATTCTGTTGGCTTGCTTTGCTGTTTGATTCTGAAATTACTTTGTTCTATGATGGATCTGCTCTGGAAGCTCTGAACAATGTTTGGTTATTGCGTTTTAAGGTTTCGGTTGATAATAGTGAAAAGAGTTTCACTTTCATCGCTGTCCTTTAGCTGGGGCTGAATGAATGTATTTGGAAATCTGAAACCGCTTGAAATTCGTTCCATTTTTTTTCACGAATTCAAGTTAACTCGAATCTATGAGCTGGGCTTGAAGTTTTTTGTGTTCAGATTAGTTCGATTGATCGATTGAATTTCAGATTGTATTTATGTTGTCTTGAATTTATATGCTTATGTAATATTAATTCATCACTTGGTTAATTGTTTTGTGTTTTGTAGTGCTTAAAGGATATCATTGGTTCAATACCTTCGAACACTCTTTATTGATTTCATGCCAACCTTGATTTTATCAAATTGATTTTTAAGTTTAGTTTGAAATTTGATAAAATTCTAGCTTTAATTTTCTGAAAATTGATTCATTACAAGCATTGAAATTCATAAGAAGCAAAGATCAAATTGTAGATAACTTTGTTTCATATAAAGTACTTCTAACTTTTCATAGAGTGCATGTATTGGTAGAAGTTGATATATTTGACTATGTATAATAGTTCAACTCTTTTGATTTTTATTATGGATGCTAAGTTATCACATGTGAAATTTTGTAGTTCCTGGAGATACAATGTAACTTGAAGATTGTTTTATTTGTCATTAGACTGGAATAAGGATAGTGTCATGAAGATTATGATGATTGTTTGATGACTTCCAAACTTCTAAAACCTTGAATATTGTAGTGAGATCTCCTTCGCTTCCATTAACTCTCTATATTCCAATTCTTATGCACACATTTTAAAGACGTCTCTTCTACTCTTCCTGTAGTTGCAATTAGGCGGTGTGACTCGAGTCGCCCTAGATTTTGAGATTGATTTGATTATTTAATTGAGCCTGAGTTCAAGCTCGAGCTCAATTCTCGAGTTTGAAGAAGCTTGTTTATATGAAATAGAAAAATAAATATTAGTCTAAGCGTGCGGTATAATAAAAATGATGTATAAGATGAGTGATTAAAAAACAAATCATAAAAAAATATTTAATGTAAAATGTGAAATATTTAAATTTTAAATATTTTTAACAATTTTAAGATAAAATTTTGATTTTAATATATTTTGAGTATATTTAAAAATAATATTTTTTCGGACAAGCTAGCTCACATGGTTTGAGCTTGGCTTGCTCAACTCATGAGCCATTTAACGGTCCAACCTAGGCTAGACCTTAGTTAAACCCACTAATAGTTAGATTCAAATGCGTCAGGGATTAGGCCAAATGGAATGGAAGTTGGATGTAATGTGGATTTTGTTACAAGCTGAGTAATCGTTTAAATAGCCTCAAATTCAATAATCATATTCTTAGGTCGCAATTGCTTCAGTCGGATTGCCTATCAAATAATTTAGGGGCATTTACGTACATAACACTCAATTCCTATGTATTTATATATCTAACACCAAAAGTTTATTTTTGATGTTTATGTCATGCAAAATTTAATCTCATAAAGGTATCACTATTTAACTTTTATGAAGTGGTACACGTTTAGATGCTTAGGGAAGGTGATGCATCTATATAAAATTAAGCTCAGGTGGTAGACATGTAAATGCATTGGAAATGAGTATTGAGTAGTATGTGTATAAATCTTCATAATATGTTGGCATAGCTAACTGTATGCAACTACAAAAATGAAGCATCATGAGCCAACATAATAGCATGTGTTAGAAACAAAGTGAAAGATTTCAAGATGGTGAATTTGAACGCTGACCTTGCCCTTTCCCAAAAAAATAAAAAAAAAGCCAACCTAATAAAGTCACATAAAACATCCAAGCCCAAGTCAAATTGCAGCCTACATGATATTCAATTGACAAAAAATTAAAATTAAAAAAAAAAAAAAAACAACTATATTAAAAAAAATAAAAAAAGAATTAAGAAAAAAGCCAAGCACTTGTTCAACTATTACTCATCCATGTTTTGACAAAATCACCCACTTTTGGAGGCCAATTTAAGTAATGCGATCATTGCAAGTATTTTGGTCTGGCGATTGATAGTTGTCTTTCAGCTAAGATGTCTCGAGTTCAGGCTTGTCGTTTATGCGGTGTGCGTGCATTTACAATTAAAGTCACTCCAATTTTCTAAAAAATAACACAATGATTTCATGATCTTTTGATCTTTTGAATATATATATATATATATATATAAACGGTTTTATGCCAAATAGGAGCAACCATATTCTTTACCCTTTTTCCGAGTGTTACAAAAAACATTGAATAATCCAAAGTTTGGTCCCTAATTATGTTATTTTTTGTTTAAATAACTTCTATTTGACCACTTGGCAATGAAAGAATTCACTACACTCCAAAACTAAATGCATCAAAGAGGAAAATCCATCCAACATGCTTTGCTTTTTAGAGTAGCCACATAGAATAGCTACATCAAAACGAAAAGATGTGGATGATAATATTTTTAATGCGCATTGTGGCTCTCATCATCCCATAGAATATAATTATCTTCTTGAGAAATGGATATATGTTTGATAGCATTGAATTAAGTCATATTGAACGAATGACAACTGGGATGCATCCAATTATCATTAAAGATAATAGCCCCAACATTGATTTCCATAGGAACAATATAATACAAAAAAGGCAATGAACATTAGCTTCTTTATAAAAATAAGTGGCCATGCTTGGTTGTCAAGTTCAAATTGAACCATGCAAGCATGCCACCAACCATTTTGTAGGCTACCAATTTGAATTACTTTCCAAAGAGTTTTTATTTTTTTAGTTTTTTTTTTTATTTTATTTTTTATAGGCTAGGTGAGCTTCCGAACTTGATGCATTTGGATTCTTCTCTTCATTTCTAACAAATTTACTACATGTTCAAACACAACTAATTTTTATCTAGCTAGATTAATGCAAAATAGCGGGAAAGGTAACCCTAAGCCTCTCTGAGGTAAAGATGTTTGTAGCCAGCATATTATTTGAAGCTTATGAGATGCACAACTAGAGAAAGGAATTTTGAGCACTAGCTATTGTCCTTAAAACACATTTTAGAAAGGATAAAACTAGGAGTTGATAGGATAAAATATTCCATTTGGTCATTTTATTAAGTTGAAGTCTCATAACCACTAATGTAGTTTGTGCTTCTAATTGGCCAAATAATGCTTTAGCCAATTGAATAGAGAGGAAAAAGGAGGCTCATATATTATAAGGTTGATAAGAAAATTTTATTATTTTTCATTCAAGGGTGGTAGATTTATGAAGGAACTTAAGAAAAATAAATCACTCTTTTACTAATGCTAATAATAATCATAATAGTAATTTTATTAAAATGAATTGAAAATTTATGGAGAGATTCTAAGGTTTAAGCTTTTGTTCTCTATAGAAAATTTATGGAGAGATTTTTAAAATGAGCAATTATTGACATATTTGAGTGTGCTAATAGAGACCTTGCAATTAACATGGATAAAGTTCTTTCAGAATATCAATCCTCTAAAAATAAGAGAAACATATCCATCACAATAGAAAATGGAAAGGGATAAAGAGGGAAGACTTATCTGTATCCCTTTTTTAGTGTTGACAATAATAAGTAATATTCAAATTAGAGAGAATCTGTCCATCATTTTTAATAAAGAAAAGTATATTAGAGAGATAAGTAGTAATCAAATTAGTAAAATTACAAAGAGTGCACTCAATAAATATCTTATTAAGAAGAAGTAATATATTCATATTATCACACGCCTTGAGTTGGTCAATTGTAATAATAAATACTTTGATGTTTGAAAAGTGTTAAATCCCTTAAGAAAATTAATAATAATAATAAATTTAATAAATATTTCTTTTTCTTAGTGAAAACAAACCGAGCATGATGAGTAGGAAGAGAAGAACGTTTTGAAGTCTATCAATAAAAAGCTTATAAGAATAATTATAATGTTCTTCCCTATGTCGGGAAGCTTATTTGTGCAAAAGAAATGAGTGTCAATAAATAGAACGTGTGATTGAACCGACAAGTAACTAATTATTAGAAAGGATTTTGATGTTATCCATATGAACTAGAGGACTTGCATTTACTAAAATTGAAGATAACATCTTTAAGTCCATGTTAGTGGACAAAGCCACGAGATAAGATTGGCTTTTAAGTGATAGAGAAGCTTCAAGATGGAGTTCCATAAAATAGGATGATGCCATGCTATCTACTAAAAAATAATAATCCTAAATTAAGAAAATTTAATGAGGTAATGAAGAGTTTTAAAGTGACATGAATTCACCTAATAATGTTGACATTATGTCTAACCTTAATATTTTGACAAATGAAAGATAGATCATACTTATTTTGGATATCCACATAATTTTGAACAATTGATAACCCCATTCATTTTGAAAACTATAAAATTATATAAATTTTTTATGAATTGACTTGGTCTCACTCAATAAGAAAGATCTAATGGATTATTTATTAGAAAGGAAACTCCTTAAAGAAGAACGTATTTTGAGATAGATGATTAGTTGTATTTTGGGAGTAGTTTATCAATCAACTATTAACCTTTAAGATTTTTATAGAGAGTGAATGTTAGGTTATCATGTATAAAGGTCCTATCTCTACTAGTAATAGTATCCATGAAATAAGATTAATGAGTCCTTATATTTTTGAAATTAAATATTTGTTTGATTGAGGGGAAATCCCCAATGTAAATAAAGATTAGAAAATAATAACTCATAAAAATTATAGTATCTCTTTATATTATCTATGAAAGACTTAAAAAAAAATAAGAAATTGGTAAGATAATTGAGTTTTCATTATTCTTTAGTCAAACTCTTAGTTCCACAAGTTGAGAAGAACCAAACGTCTAGATTAAAAAAAATATATATTCATTCTTTAGGATCATTGTGTTTCCATTATTTTTTTATTTATAAGTCAAATATAGTTTGGAAGTGGACCTTTGATATAACCTCCATTCCAATTGTTTATAATT